AACCATAGGCTACTAAATGAAAACCCCAGTGCCATCTGGGGTTACCTTTGATAGTCAGTGCAGCCCCAGAAGCCTCAGATCATACAGAACTAAATGATTAGACCTTATGGCTAAAGACACTCTACACTTGGTTGTTAGAGATAAAAGAGTAACTAGAATTGAGCGGGCAGCTTCCTTCCTGCCACATCACTTTCATAAGTACCAGACGTGTGCAGGCTGCTGAGGAAAATAATGCATCTTACCCAGTTGTGACCCATATAACTATGATTTGAACCTTCCAGGCATGATGTGCCTACTGCACAATAGTACCACCACTCTGGTGGGGTAATCAACTGCTTTCTTACGGGATTTTAAACCTTTTCTACATGAATGCTCTTGTTTTTGGAACTATAAACATGATCAAGAGTCATAGGCTCCAGGGAGAAACTTACGGTTGTTTTGTTAAATGGACACATTGTTAAGCTGTCTTCTCAATATCTATGATTACTATTCCCACATGTACATTTGAATAAATATATATTTTTGCCTAGGTTCTGCATATAAGGAAAAACACTTGGATTTTTTCTGGGATTGTGTGATTTTCCTTAATAATATACATTCTAAGTCCATTTTTCTGTAAATTTTTATTAAAGTTTTGTTTAGAGTTCGTGGTTTATATATTGTGTACCCCAATAAACTTACCTGGGGGTCAGAGAAAAGAACAGCCACTATATTAAACATAGAGGTTAGGTGTGGTGGCACACACCTTTAATCCCAGCATTTGAGATCTCATGTCTTTGCTTGGGAAAGACACACACCTTTAATCCCAGGAAGTAATAGCAGGAAGCAGAAAGGCATATAAGGGGTGAAGACCAGAAACTAGAGATTTTATACGCTTTCAGCTTTTAGTAGCAGTTCAGCTGAGATCCATTTGAAAGAGGACTCAGAGGCTTTCAGTCTGAGGAAGTAAGATCAGCTGAGGAACTGGCAAGGTGAGATTGGATGGGGCTTGTTTTGTTTCTCTGATCTTTCAGTGTTCACCTCAATACCTGGCCCTGGGTTTGCTATTATTAATTATTAATAAAATTAATAAATTTTAAATAATAATTAGAAATTCGTGTTACAAGAGCTGAATAGTATTCATATGTGTGTGTGTGTTTTGTGTGTGTGTGTGTGAAAGAGAGAGAGGGAGAGAGAGAGAGAGAGAGAGAGAGAGAGAGAGAGAGAGAGAGAGAGAGAGAGCATGCGTTCACACACACGTGCACCGGACTTTCATTTCAAATGGACATGTGGGTAAAATAAAACATGTGGAAAAGAGAAGAAGGGTAAATGTTACGGGATGAGGGAAGACTGACTGCGGATAATAGACACAAGCTGTGGAAGAACATGTAAAACTGATTGATTTTCTAGTTCTAGTTCTGTCGTGGACGTTTGGTGGCAGTTAAGTGCATAAAGTAAAAAGTCTGAAAGTGAAAGAGTAAAATCCAGTGTGAAGCTCTACAGCTTCAAAGTGACTGTCCTAGGGGTGGAGAAGTCCTCTGAGATAAACTTTGGGTCTGGTTAATTTGGGGGCATGTTATTTTTTTAATTGCGAGGTTTTTTAAAAATAAAGTTTATAACATCCAAAACATACATATTACACCCACTTATTAGTGCCATTCAGGAACTTCATCAGAGAAACTTCCTTTTGCAGTAGATGGTGGTTAAATCAGAGACTCGTAATTGGACAGAGTGCAAAAACTAAGTGGCTCCATACCACACATTCTAACGGTCAGGGGACATCAAGGAAGGGGAGGTAGAAAGAACGTTAGAGCCACAGGTGTGATGCAGAAACATAACAACTGGACATTACATGGTTGCTGAGAAAGTGTTCCTGTGGAAGCACCAATTTTAAAGAATTCCTTAGTTTGCAGATGTACACATATGATGCACACGTTTTATGATAAGGACATATCATGAGAAGTGAATGCTTTGGTGACTTTTCATTGTGTGACCATCATAAAGTGTGTTTGCACTGACCTAGATTTCATGGTTGTAGGAACATCTCAGACTGCACTAAAAAAAACTGAGATGTAACTCATCAGCCATGTGCTGGGACCTTGATAGACTCAAAAGATGAGATAAACGGGAGATAGGAGAAGCTGCTGCCCAAGCAACATAGATTTCTATCTTTATGCTAAACACTATCCATTACTTCTCTGCCTTTTGACTGACACCAAGTGTAGTAAACCTTTTTTTATAAATAAAAATAAATGCTAATACAACAAAATCATAGCATAATGAATACAAAAGACAGGTACATAGTCAATTATTTGCATTATCAAGTACTATGTATTACACATTGGTACCTGAAGGGCAATACAGGAGGTTTGTTTACAGCAACATCATCATAAGTACATGAGTAAGGTGTTGTGCAATGGTGTTCTCATGGCAACAGTGTCACTAGGCAATGTGTATTTCCCAGCTCCATTATGGTCTTAAGGGACTAGAATCCTATGCAGGTTTTTATTGACCAAAACGACACTGTGTGGTCAAAGCCTGTGTGAGCATGTGTAATCAGACATGAGTTTTACAGATATATTATTGTACACAATTCTAATACCTTTTAAAAGACAAATGCACCAAGCCAAGATAATTGAGTTAGAGAGTGTTAATGATTCTGAATTGTGGTATTGCTTGCCAAATTTTAAGAACACCATTCTATTAGTTTAGAAGACAATCTCCTCTACTCTCCCCTCATCATTAGAAACCTTGGCAAATTGATAGTCTAAGACAGGAGTCTGTTTCTTTATTTCCATTGCATATATTATTTAAAATTTTTACACCTATCTGATAAACATGCTCTCAGCCACTTTTAACATGTTTTTCTTACCAGCTTATAAGATACTGTCTTGCATTAAATAAATTTTAATATAATACTTTATATATATACACATACATATATACATGGTGCTTATGTTTTTTAATTTGTTGCTTTATGGAATTATTTGTCATGTTTAGGAGTTCAAATTTTTACATGACTAAGTCTATAAAACCTTGCATTTGGTGTCAATGGATTTTCCTATAGGCATTCATATCATCTTTTCTATTTTAAGGTCTCATCTATATTTTAGAAATTCTTTGGTGAGTCTGATAGATCCTTATAATATTGAAAGTGTACACCTATTTTTGTGTTTATCAAAATGTTACTGGTGCCTGGCAGGGTTGCTTATGCCTTTAATCCAAGCACTCAGAAGACAGAGGCAGGTGGATCCATGTGAGTTCAAGGCTAGCCTGGCATGTATAGTGAGTTCCAGGTTAGTCAGGACTAGTGAAACTCTGACTCAATTTTTTTTTCAATGAAAATTTGGGGAATGGCATTGCCAGTATTCTTTCAAGCAAAAGAGGAAGAGGTGGTTTTTAAGATTCTTGGTTCTTCAGATAACTCCATTAATCAAAAGATCACTGTCATTCCCAAGATGTTTTTAGTAGGGAAGAAAAATAACAGTTGGATGTAGCTTAAACAATGATGGGTCCATTATTTAGCCAGGTGAGTGAAGGTTGGGGCTTGCCTGGCTTAACAGCCAGTGGGATCCTGCCCTACTAAAGCCTCGGGAATCTGCTCTGCTGTATCCTTCCTCCTGTCTGAGTCATCATTAAGTCTCACACAGCTGCACAGAGAAGCAAAGGGAACGAAGAATCTTCCCCATTCAAATCAGGAAGTGGAGAAGCAAGCTTCTGCTCAGTCTACTGGCCAGAATTACATAACATCCCAGAAATAACTGATCATTGGTGAAGGCAACAGAATGACCGTGATTCTAGATAAACTGCGTTCATTGCTAGTTGCTTCCTGAGAGTGGCTTATGTTTGCTATCTGTTATGACAAAATGCACATGAGATAATTCACTTATAAGATAAAACGTTTGTTTGAGGCCACGATTTGAGCTCCTAGTCTGGGTAAAACTGTTGCGTTTAGATCCCTGGTGTGGGTGAGGGTACCACATGGCCTTGACAAGAAACTCTGATGAAGCAAACTATTATTTACATCATGACCAGGAAGCACAAGAGGGAGAAGGGAAGTGCTGGGCATCACAGTCCAATGACCTAAGGACCTCCCACGAGCCCCTACCTTTTAAAAGGTACTTCCACCACTTCCCAGTCATGCCAGCCTGGGGCCCCAAGCAAATGTGTGGCACCATCCAGCAGCAGTGATGTCTCTGCTTCTAGGACTTCCTCCTCTCTCTCCCAAGAACCATCTTCTGCACTCCTTCCAAACAGCAGAAGATCTGAGTCACACAATCAAGTCACTTAGGGTCTTTATTTAGAGAGAACGCAGCTGCGTTTGCAATCAGTAGAAAGCAGGGGTGAGTCTTAAAGAATGTGAAAGACTCTGCTTGGCTGTGCATCTGCCACCTGCATGGCAGCTGGCTCTCATACCTGCTCTGAGTCCTTTGATACAGTTTTGAGACTCTGGCCTTCAAGGTCCTTACCTCCTGGGCTCAGTCCCTAGGTTGCTGGGAGGTTGTTGGGAGGTTGTTGGGAGGCCATCTGGGGAAGAATGTTAGGTGATTGGAAATAAGCCTTTGAAGGATTTGTGGGATCATTTTTGCTTCCTGGGTATGAGGCCAGCAGACTGTTTGCCACATACTGGATGCCATTTCCCCCTGGTATACCACAGAGGGCTAAAAACACCGTGGGCCTGCCTTGGCGGTGTTAACCCCAGGAAGGACGGACGGGGAACGGGCTGAAGGGGAGAGGTGCTTCCGAAGGTTTGACGTGATAGTCAAGGAAGAGAGAGACACAGCAGAGAGACAAGGCTTTGAAAGCCCTACACTGAATTTCAAATGTGAACTTTGTGCGCTGTAACCTCACAGTAACAATGATTTTATTAGCCTTGGATATTAAGATGGATGTTAAAGGGTAATGCCGGTTGTCCAGCTCACTCACGAGGAAGACATTGGTTCTTCTCTGAAAAGTCTTTATTTTATTTTATTTTGGTTTTTCAAGACAGGATTTCTCTGTGTGGCCCTCGCTGTCCTGGAACTTGCTCTGTAGACTGGGCTGGCCTCGACCTCAGAGCTCCAGCTGCCTCTTCCTCCTTAGTGCTGGGGTTGAAGGCATGCACCGCCACTGCCTGACATTGAGAAGTCTTTTAAAGTTTCATTTCCAACTTTCGTCTTAGCCACTTCTGTTTACTGCTTCAGAAACCACTTACACAGTGTTCCCATTCTCTTTCTCCCTTTTAATGTTGAAGCTGTTCTCTTTCTAGTTGAATTTTTTTGTTTTTATATTATACCTAGAGCAAATGATTTATACAAATTACATGATTTCTCATTAAACATATTTTATATGAAATGTAGTTATTATTATTATTATTGCCATCATCTGCATCCATGGTTCTCAATCTACAGGTCGCAACCCCTTTGACAAACTTCTATCTAAAAAACTATTTTCAATATGGTTCATAATAGTCACAAAATTATACTTATTAAGTAGCTTATGAAAATATTTTATGGTTGGGGGTCACCACAACATGAGGGTTGAACTGCATTGAAGGGTCGCAGCTCCTACACTCTTGAAAATCCTGAAACCTAAATACAGTTCCAATTAAAGCTCACCTTTGCTTTTCTATGTTTTTTTTCCTACCTGTGGTGTGATTGTTAATGAGACTCTGGACAAACTAGTGTGAAAGGCAAAGGAGGTGACACAATGGGACAATTGTCTATGCGCTAGGGAGGCACTGACCAGAACAGAAAACAGAAAGCCAGGCGCATCCATTCTCCTTGGGCTTTGCCCTCTCTCTCACCACCTCTTTCCTCTAGTGTGGGCATTAGACGTCTCCTGAAGGCCCCTGTGTTACCTAAAGACTGCGCCACAAAGTGTAGCTGTTGGAGATGAGGATCTGCTTAGGTCATGGGGGCAGGTTGAAGGGGATTATGGGACTGTTTCCTCATCACTCTATTTTGCTTTTTGGCCCTGGGGTGAGCATGTGTCTCCTAGTTCCTGCTTCTTGGAGGGTACTCATTGAGATGTCTTCACCGTTCACTCCAGGGAAGAGGAAGACTGTGGTACATGAGGTGAAGATACTTATCAGGGACCAAACATTCCCAGAAGGACAAAGCCAACACACCTCAGCTTACACTGGAGGGAGGTGAAGTGCTACAGGGCATGTACCTAAGACGAAGAGCTAAGTAGACTTAGTGCAGCCACGTGCTCCAAGCCTCATGGTTGCCTCTGTTATGACTCACAGCCTTATCTCACCCACAATGAGATCAACACATGGTTTCTTATCTCTTTCCGTCTTCCACATTGTTGTTCCTAGTGTCTAGGACAGTGCCTTGTACTGAGTAACATTTGAAAAATGGACACTGAATAAGTCTTTTAAAACTTGACTTTTAGAGAATGAAACCTTCCCATGTGTCCCCAAAGGACCCTGTTCCAAGGGCCTTACGGGACACTGAAGGGTTTCCTGAGCAATCAGAGCTCTGTGTCTTCTCTACTCCTGACCTATTCAAAACAGCTCTGCTGGGGTTTTTTGGTGTGTGCAGCCCTGTGTGGCTGTGTGTGTGTGTGTGTGTGTGTGTGTGTGTGTGTGTGTGTGTGTGGTTTGGGTTGTATGAAACCTAATTTGTCTTTTTTATAGTATCCCATAAGATAAAAAATGTTCTGCATTGATCTCTACCCAGGAACTGTTCAAACTAAACTCTTTTCTCCTGCTCCTTCCACTTTCTTCCTCCTCCTCTTTCCTGTCATTCCCCCCTCCTCTTGTGGCTTACACCTTCTTTACTTCCTTCTCTCCTTCTTTTTTATCCTCCCTTCTTTCTTTCCCTCATCTCCCCCCCCCCCTTTTCTCTTCCACCACATAGATTGTGGGTATTGAACTCAAATCATCAGGCTTGTACAGCAGCACCTTTATCCACTGAACTACCCTGTCAGTCCTGAAAGTAGAGACCTTTAAAGAGTCCCTTTGATGGCTGGGTTTCAGCTCGTTCTCTAAGTCCCCTGGTTTCCTAGGTTTGAATGTATACTGCTACTATGACACAGATTTACCCAAGCCCGACGTTAGTCATACTGCAAAAGCACTTTGAAAACTTGATACCTGATACATATGTATTTAGTTAACTCTATTTTATTCCCATGCTTTTAAAAGAAAAATCTTTTTACTATAGATACAATACCCACCTTTGAAATGTTGCTATGTGCCATGCATTCAATTCTAAACTGAAAGGTTTTGTATTTTAAAATGCTCTTGATTCAGCCAGTGACGTAGACATCATACCATTTTATAAATAGAGAAACTGAAGCTCAAAGGGATAACTAACATGAGCCCCCAAATCCCACACTTGGTGAACACCTAAACCACAGTGTAGGACAGGTACTTTTTTAACCTCAAGTCGCTGTTATTGTCTGCACAACACGAACAGATGGCCCTTGGTTGCTGTACACTAAAACTTGTGTGGTCAATTAGCCTTACATACCTTGTGTCTTCCATATCCTTTGCCTGAGGTCTGAAGCTGCCCCTCTCCACGTGATTGATTACAGCTTCTGCCACACGTCTCTGCTGAACTCTCCATTTACTCTAAGAACAGCCTGCTGGATAGGCCCAGTACACACTTCATATCGGGTACCCCTTTCTTTTTGTTCATGGGATCTTGTTCAACCCATTAATCAGAATGTTGTCAATTCTCATGTGGTCTGAAATTATATTTGAATTTGCTTCCGTACATTATTTTCGTTTTCAAATTCTATTGATAACCCAGTGCTCCTTAGTCCTCTATTAATGTCTGTTTATGACACTCTTCTGTAAGTTCGCAACATATCCTCTGCCCTAACATGCTTGAGAAACAGCAGCAGCTTTCTGGAATTTATCCCAAGACTTGCTGCAGCATAGGTTTTCGGCCTATATCTTAATTTTATTTCTCTTTTCTGTATTTTGGTGAGTTTTCTTATTAGCAATTGTCCATTCAAGGACTGAGCAGAACAGCTGCTGTTGATTGCAGCACACCTGGAAATAGCAGCTGTGTCAGGCGGTGCAACCTTGGATTCCACACAAATAAGCAGATAGAAGGCTGCTGCCTAGCTGACAGAACAGGGAAGCTATCATGCAAACACTCTGGGTCAACTAACTACCTTTTCTTACCTTTGCCTTTTCTGCTCATAACTGCTCTCTTTGTTTGTTTTTTCGGTCACCCCCCGAGATGGAGTTTCTCTGTGTAGTTTTGGTGCCTGTCCTGGATCTCACTCTGTAGCCCAGGCTGGCCTTGAACTCACAGAGATCTGCCTGGCTCTGCCTCCCGAGTGCTGAGATTAAAGGTGTGTGCCACCACTGCCCGGCAGCCTGCTCTGTTTGTATAATCATTTTGAACCTGTCTTAATGATTTATTCTAGTAGATCCTTGCTCAAGAGCAACTTAGTCTCTGTAGCTCTCTCTGTCTCTGTTTCTGTCTGCCCCCTCCTTGCCCCACTCCTTTCTATCATGTGACTGACCATTGCCTGACCATCTCTTATCCAAACAGCTCCATCTGACAAAGTGAAAGAAAAGTAGCAATTGCCTTCTAGTATTACCATTTTCTAAACAGGCAGCTAACCTTTCTCTTTTTGTTTTATTGCTTGCAAGCACATTGAATCTTAACAATTTTTTTTAAAGTCTGTGGTGGTTTGAATAAGAATGGCCCCCATAGGCTCATGTATTTGAATGTTCAGTCATCAGGGAGTGTAATTGTTGGAAAGGATTAGAAGGATTAGGAGGTGTGGTCTTATTGGAGAAAATGTGTCACTGGAGCTGGGCTTTTTTTTTTTTTTTTTTGGTTTTTTCGAGACAGGGTTTCTCTGTGCAGCTTTGCCCCTTTCCTGGAGCTCACTTGGTAGCCCAGGCTGGCCTCGAACTCACAGAGATCCACCCGGCTCTTGGAGCTGGGCTTTTCTTTGAGGTTTCAAAAGCCTAAGGCAAGCCCAGAGTTTCACTCTTTGTCTGCAGATCAGGATGTAGCTCTCAGCTACTTTTCCAGCACCATGCCTGCCTACATGCTGCCATACTCCCTACCATGATGATAATGGACTAAACCTCTAAAACTATAAGCAAGCCCCTAATTAAATCCTTTCTTTCATAAGAGTTGCCTTGGTCATAGTGTCTCTTCACAGGAACAGAACAGTGACTAAGACAAGGTCATAACTTACTTCTCTAATTACTAAACAACCCCTGTATTTCAGGAAAATACCACAAATGGCATTACCTTGGTTGATAATCTAACTTCTATTTCAGAGATTAAGGTCTATGGAAAGATGAAGAGGCAAGCAGTCATTGATAAACACTTACTTGGGTAACCAAAGAAGCGGGCTGGTATCAAAAGTTCCATGTTGCAGTTTTATGTATGCCCCAGACTTTATGGTGATGGAATTTCCTTTGTATTTTTGTCTAATCTAAACATCTAGAAACTTGGACCACATCAGTTATTAGGACATGCATCGATTATACATTATAACCTTATTTTAATATTTTGTTCAGAAGTAGATGCTAACTTATTGAGACTTCTTTCATCTCATCAAAATCTACCAGATAGTTTATTTCTATACTTTCCAAAACAAATAAACAAACAACAAAGTACCTTGTCATCAAGATCACTGATTCAGTTTCTTGATGATCTGTTTATTTCCCTTTGTTGTATCTTCACATCATAAACATTCACTTGTTCATACTAGTTCTTGCTTCATCTGGCCTAGGCAAAGTTTAGGGAGGCCTAATTATCAGGTTTGGAAAAGATATGGGGGAGGGGTGTGTGGGACAGCATGACGGTATCACAGATAATAAGGGACAGGTTCCAAAAGGAAAAATGGGTTGAGAGTGGACTGATTTCCCAAATTCTGCTCATCAGTTCTGTCTCCAACTTAAAAGCTATGGGTTTTACATTTGCTAAGAAAATGCACTTTTGACTTTATATAAAATAAGTATGCTGGCAGAAATGTTTGATCTACTCCTCTAACCCTGTTTATGAAGTTTGGTTGGCAAATAAAAAGTGTGTATCCTAGGGCTGTGGAGATAGGTCAGTCTATAAAGTGTTTGCTTCTTAAGGATGAAGACCCAAGTTTTGATCCCTAGCTCCCACATAAAAGGTGGGCACCTGGAATCCTATTGCTGGGGATGAGGTGGCAAGAGGATCTCAGCTGCTTGCTGCCTAGTTAGTCTGTGAGCTCCAGGTTCAATAAGGAGGTGACCAACAGAGGAAAACATATGACACCTCTGGTTTCCATATGCATTCACACACACACACACACACACACACACACACACACACACACACACACAGATACAATACATAATTTTAAAGTATGTACTAAAGTGTACAATGTGATGATGTGATGTACATATACATTGAGAAATTATCAGAGTTGAGTTAATAAACTCATTACCTTTTACATGTGTGGGAGAATACATAAAATTTACTCTCTTAGCAATCGTCATGTATGAAATATGCTATTGTTCACTATAATCACCATGTCTATATTAGATAGCCAGGACTTCTTCATCTTAAGACTAGAATTCTATATCCTCTGACCACCATCTCCTCTTGATGAAAAAGGTTCTTGGTCACACTATCTTCCCTTAAAGAGAAGAAGACAATTGTATGATGGAGAAATTTGGTCTACCAGTTCCATTCAACTAAATTATGAAGAAATATAAAACAGGGGTATCTGACTTTATCTAGAGAAACTGGGTCTGGGGGGCTTTTAATGGGAAACAGAAACAAAAACATCTGAAGACTGTCTCATAGAAAGGGGATCTAGTTGCCAGTAGGAGACATTGAAACCTGCTGATTCAAACCAATGTCTACCTTTGAAGGTTTGATCTCATGTGATTCATTTAGTTATCAATCCAGATGTATTCAGTATTATGCAATATGTGTGATATGATTGCAAAGAGGAAGTGTTCTCAGGCTGATTACAATCTAGCTGGATCTTTCATTTGTCACAAATATGCAAATAGACCATGCTATGATATGCAACTGAGAGAGCTTTATCACATACTGCTTCTGCACTGATAGTCTGAACCCTGTCTTTCTCTGTGTGGGTTGAGAGTTTCATCTCTTCTGATGACTGAGGACCTTAGAGAAACATTTTCCAGGTTGTTGCTGATTCTCCCTTGTGTGGGAAAGAAAGGCTCAACTGTTGCCCAGGGAACCTATTGACATAAAAACATATTCTTGCAACTTGTAATAAAGGGAAGAAACTAAATTTCTTAGTGTATGCTCCAGTCTTGAAGTTGCAGCTCTGTTACTCATCTATTCCACTAACTGAGATGATCCTAGAAATGCCATCAGATGAAGGCAATGCATATCTCAGTACAGATGAGGGCAGTTTCCCTCCAGTATGCAGGGGCTCTCCAACAAATTCAACGGAACTACTGCAGATCTGGATGACTTGGGGTTTCCCTTGGAAACCTGTGGTGTAACTGATATTCAGTCATCAGCATTATAGTGATGTTAGTGGTGTTCCTTTTTAATTAAGAATCCCAAGTATTGTGGTTATGAGAGTTCCTGAGCATCCTGGAGCATCCTTACAAAATATCATTTCCTACAGCCTGCGACATTCCAGAAGAATTTAGGATGCTGTTTCATGCCATTTGCTGAGAGAGTCCTGTGACTAGAGGATGTCAAACTGCTTTAGGGACAAAGGATAAGGAAGGTCACAGCTGAGTATGTAAACTACTGCTAAAAGCTCTAGGCAGTAATTTTGAGGAATATGCAATTTTGTCTAAACTATAGTCCTGTCATTTTAAAAACAGAAATAATATTTTTCTCAATGTGAACATTTAGAAGAGTAAGCAAGACTTTGTATGTCAACAGGCTATTACAATGCTTAACATATAGAAAGGACTCATCTTAATAATGTGTAGGGTCCCTTCTGATTTTATGAGTCCATTTAAGTCCTGGAAGTGGTATAGAGAATAGTCCTCTTTGCTAGTCTCATGATAATTCTGTCTTTCTTATGCATGCTTTTCTCCAGGCAAAGACACCATTTATTGCCTTGGAGTATTCTATATTTAAAGACATGACCAAAGGATCTGAAGTCAATGTGAGGAAAACTCAGGTAATGTTCAATATTTTCACCATGGAGTTGTGAATGAGCTCAATTGAAGATGATCTGATTTACTTTGTCTTCAGTACTAGGAACGCAATAACACCTCATTGTCTGCTGGGGTGTTAGGGTTTCTAACACCTCACTGTCTACTAGGGCATTAGGATTTATGTTTTGGCTTTGCTGTAAAGTTTCACATAGGGGCCTATGCACAGTTCTGCAAGAAGAGCCAACCAATTAGAGAACTTTGTCCCTAACTTCCTTCTACACATACAGCTGCAAACCTGCATTAGGGCTGAACTTGCCTTAGGCACAGCATTTATACTTAGAGAAGTCATTTCACCTCTCAAGGTCTTAGATTTCTTATCAGTGAAAAAGAAATGCTAATTAGGCAATCTTTAAAAACCCTTTTTAGTCATAAAAATAACAGGGTTATAGACATTGCCACCAGCACTTTTCCAGAATAAAGAGCAAATACCCTAAAGACTTAGAATCTAATTTTAAAGTTTTTCTTTCTTTCTTTCTTTTTCTTTCTTTCTTTCTTTCTTTCTTTCTTTTTTTCTTTCTTTCTTTCTTTCTTCCTTCCTTCCTTCCTTCCTTCCTTCCTTCCTTCCTTCCTTCCTTCCTTCCTTTCTTTCTTTCTTTCTTTCTTTCTTTCTTTCTTTCTTTCTTTCTTTCTTTCTTTCTTAGCAGAGGTGTAGGAATTCAGCAATGGAACACATACATTGAAAACTAATATGTAAAAATAAAGGTTATTAACTGAAGGTAGAAAAATTCCAAACTTGGATTACATCAACAATCTTGGTCAAATATATGTGAGGAATTTAAAAAGGGAAAATGGAAAGAGATACATAATGTGTCATGCAAATCCTAAATCATAAGAAGGTCTTCAAGACTGGCCTTGAACTCCAGATCCTCATGCCTCTGTCTCCTTCAGCAAGTCCTACCAGCCTGTACCACCAGAACCCACATAGCTCCAGAGAAGCTAAGAAACAAGGACCTTAAGAGGGACTCATAGATCACCTTGGGAAGGAGAAATAGATGAGATCTTCATGAGTAAACTGGGGAGGAAAGGGGCAATAGAGGGGAGGGTGTGGGAGATGAGAACATGAGGGAACAGGATGGTTGAGCTGGGGGAGGGTCAGAGTGAGAGAGTAGTGAAAGAGATACCTTGATAGAGGGAGACATCATGGGGTAAGGGAGAAACCTGGTGCTAGGAAATTCCCAGGGACCTGCAAAGACAATCCAAGATTAGACTACTAGCAAAAATGGAGAGGGTGACTGAAGTGGCCTACCCTGCTAATCAGATTGGTGAATACCCTAACTGTCATCATAGAACCCTATTCCAGTAACTGATGCAGATGCAGAGTTCCACAGCCAAGCACCAGGCCAAGCTCCAGGAGTCCAGTTGAACAGGAGTCCAGTGACTGAAGTGGCCTACCCTGCTAATCAGATTGGTGAATACCCTAACTGACATCATAGAACCCTCATCCAGTAACAGAAGCAGATGCAGAGTTCCACAGCCAAGCACCAGGCCAAGCTCCAGGAGTCCAGTTGAAGAGAGGAAAGAGGGACTCTGTGAGAAAGGGGCATCAAGATCATGATGGGGAAACCTACAGAGACAACCAAACCAAACTAGTGGGAACTCATGAAATTTAGACCAATAGCTGTGGAGCCTCCATGGGACCGGACTAGGCCCTCTGCATAAGTGAGACAGATGTGTAGCTTGATCTGCTTAAGAAGCCCCCAGGCAGCAGGATCAGGATCCATCCCTGGTGCATGAGCTGGCTTTTTGGAGCCCACTACCTGTGGTGGGACACCTCTCACAGCCTTGAGGCAGGGGGAGGAGCTTGGACCTGCCTCTACTGAATGGACCAGGCTCTGCTGACTCCCCACGGGAGGCCTCACCTTCTTGTGGGAGAGAATGGGTGGGTGGGGGGAAATTGGGGAGGAAAAGGCTAGAGGGGCAGGAGGAAGAAAGAAGGGGTTCTGTGATTGGTATGTAAAATGAATAAAAAATTTCTTAATAAAAAAACTCAAAAAACAAACAAAGACTGCTCTTTAGAAATCAAAAATGCTGAAGACAGCACAGAGGCTTTGACTAAATTTCTTCATTGTTCAGTAGCATAGCTGGGATAAAAAGATATGAAGGGTTTTTTTTCCCCCAAGATCACATACTTGATATTGGATACTAGCATTGTATCAGTTAAGATGCTTCCAATTAGAAGAAACAGGAAATGCTTATTCTAAAGCATATACCACAATAACAGAATGCATTTTCTCCTACAACAGGAATTCCAGAGCTGGGGCAGGCAGTAAGCCAGGCACGGCCAAGAGAGACTCTTGTTATACTCAACTGCCAGATGTCAGCTTTAGCCTTGGGTTGCATCTTCCATGCTGTCCATATGCCTGGGCACTGTAGCTGTGGAATGATGATGATGATGATGATGATGATGATGATGATGATGATGATAAAATGATTTATTGATATTTTATTGTCAATTAAAAATTATTTCCTTCATTTATGGAATAGAAGTTATATTCTTTGCCATAGGGTTCAGCTTCTGTGCTCAAAAATGGATCAAACAAGTTACCAGGAAAGTACATCTGAATACTGGGTACCTGACCAGAGCACTTGGCAGGGATTACTACGATTGTCTATGGTTTTTAAAATCCACTTATGGAACATAGATGGGGTCAGTTATTCTGACTCATAACTACTGGAGAATGGCAAGGGTACAGCATACAAGGAAAGAGGGAAAAGGAATGGATACTGCATAAGCAATAAGAAGAATTGGCGACAGAGGCCAAGGATACCCTATATTTCAGTTCTGTGTTCCGTGACAATTGATTGCTATGAGTGGGAAGAAATATATTCTGGGGCAATAGAGTGCTTAAAAGGGTACCACATTCAAAATAGATACATGATTTTTCTCATTGCAAAATATTGCTGAAACAATCCAAACAAGTCCGGAGAGATAGTGCCATCTGCTATGACATCACAGGTGGATACAGCAGCACATTTCATCTTATGAAGTTGCCAGGGCAACGGAATCCAATTGTGATAGTAGGCTAAGGTGGAAGCATAGAAAATGACATTTTCCCCACTGAGAAAAGCAATTTAAACTGAAGCAGCAGTTGTTAGAGACTATTTCAGATTCTATGGGATAGAATAACCACGGAAAAGGTAAAATGCTGGTACCTCAATGTGTGCTTTTTTCACATTCGTAGATGAGTCAACATGATTACTAAATCCTTACAGAGTAGAACCTTCTATAATGGGAATGAGATGTTCATTTAAATCTTGTTGCATTCCTTTCAACAAGCCTCAGATCTGTTAGAGCCGAATTCCCCCCCCCCCATTAAATTCTGCCCATCTCTTCTAGCTCTTTTACGTCAATACTTCCTGTGTCCATATTCCACAGAACCTAGCACAGACTGGATAAATACAAATACTAAGTTGTTTGAAGACTGAACTTTATTCATGCCTCCACTACCAAATATAACTTCACTTCTTTTTCATATAACCAAGCATGATAATGTAATGAAGACATAGCTTATAAAGCAATGTGAGTTGTATTTAAGAAGTGTAACTTACACTGACTTTTTAATGGCTGAGATGTGACTTGGTGCAACTTGGTCTACCTAAAGGACCAAGTTCCCATTCACCATCCTCACCCAAAAGTCCAGCATGTTCCTGAGGCTCAACACAAGCAATAAAAGAGATGTCTTGTTATCTAGTCCTCCAGAAAGCAAATAGTTTTGGGGTGACTTCTATATGCTGGCCACCCTTCTAGATGTAAGGATGGATGTGAAAGACTTCTGTGTGCAGATGAAGAGAAACACCATGGAACTCAATATCTCTCATGCTGGTATTTTTCTCATATCTCTGTAATGTCACTGTTCATGTCATTCTGTCTGCCAGGACACAAAATCTCCCCATGTCAGATTGTTTATCACTGCTACATCAGCAGAATGTTCTGGGGTTCAGAGCCAAAGTTCCAGAGTTCACGCTGACACTGACCTCTAAAACTTAAAGTTGAACCATGAAAAAGAAATCTTCAGGCAGTTTCATGTGTGTAATATGACTTCCAATTAATCTTGGCTTTTAAAACCAAAAGACTAAAGGAAAATACCATGTGTTGATATATTGTGCATCAAATAAAGCTTGCCTGAGGATCAGAGGACAGAGCCAGCCACTAGATTAAACATAGAAGCCAGGCAGTGGTGGCAAACACCTTTAATACTAGCACTCAAGAGGCAGAGATCCATGTGGATCTCTTTGAGTTCAAAGCCACCCTAGTCTATATGAGATTGATTCAGTCTAGGAGAGAAACAGAGCCAGGCAGTGGTGGCACACACCTTTAATCCCAGTACTTACGAGTCACATGCCTTGCTACCAGTATTTGGGAAGCGCACATGCCATTAATCCCAGCACTAGGAAGAAAGTGATATGGCTGGGTGGAGAAAGGCATATAAAGTGTGAGGAGACAGGAACAAGAGAAGCCTTTGGCTGAGGACTCAGAGGCTTGCAGTCTGAGGATTCGTGGAGATAGGATCGCCCCTTCCATTCGGCCCACGGATTCGGTAGTGGTGAGAAGTTTCTTTAGTGTCTTGTTCCTTTGTCTCTCTGGTCTTTCTTTCTTTTTTTAAACAAACATTTATAATCATTATTTTATACAGATATAGATATGTAAATACAACATCAAGTTCAGTGGTCCTTCAGCATTTTCCACTTAATTTTTTTTTTCTGAACATAAAGACAAGTTATAATTCCAAAGTGTCAGATCTTTCAGCATTTACCCAATATCTGGCCCTGAGTTTTTATTATAAGACCTTTTAGAATTTGTGTTACAACATCACATTTTAAGAAAATACATCTGTAGACCTCAGTTTCCACTGAGAATAAAGGAGGCTGAGACTAATATTATTCTTGCAAAAGAATGTTCTATAAAACTATTTTTTTGTCTTTTCAAAGAACATACATCTGCACATATCTGGAGTACATAGTGTGATAGTTCAGTGCATGCACAGAATGGAAAATAAGAACAGGATAGTTAGTGCAAACAACCCAACATTTGTGTTTGGAACATTTAAGTTCATCTCTCCATAAACTGTGTAAAAGGTTATTGAAAAGTATAGTCACTCTATGTGCAGAACACTGGGAGTGACTCCTTTTGTGGAACCTGTTTTGGCACTTGCTACCCAGATTTCTTCCATAATCTACCCACCCCACCATCCTTCTTATTCTCAAGTAATCACTGTTATTCTCCTTCTATTTTGAGTTCAACCTTTTTAACTTCTGATGATGATGGACAGCATGTTTGGGTTTCTGTGTCCGACTTGTTTTGTTTAACATAGTGTCCTATAGTGTAATCAATCCACTTTCCTGCAATCAACAGGATCTATTTTTTTTCTATATAGGAGGAGAATAATCCTCTATATGTGTGTATAAGAATTTATTTTTCTTCTTGTTCTTCTTTAAGTTTCAGTTTCTTTTGTTCATTTGCCATGAAGTCTCACAGTGTAGTCCAGGCTGGTCTAGAACTCACCATGCAGCTCTGACTGTTCCTGAACACACAGCAGTCCTCTTGCTTCAGTGATGAGATTATAGGCATGAGCTACCTTCCACATAACACATTTTTTATCCATTTATCAGGAGATGGCTGCTGTAAATAGTATGCCAATAAATGTGTAAGAACAAATAACTCTTTGATATGCTAATTTTTAGCAAGAAAAAGTCTAAGAAACCCATATACATACAGACATTTATATACCCATAAAAAAGCCAATGAAAACACAAAATCAGAAACCATAATATATAAGCAAAAGATCAGTATTGTTAAAAATTCCCAAAGAAAACAATATGAAACAAACAAACAAAATCTACAAAAATATCACTGAGTTCATTTTGTGTTTGCATTCTACTGCTGGGCATGGAGCCTGTACTTAAGTGTGGTTTATATATCTGGTGAGACTTCACTGGAGAAAACTAATTTTTCCTTTGCAAGCATTGTCCATTTGGAGATAGCTTCTTGGTAAGAGATATGAAGTTATGTTCACTTCCCCCACTCAGCTCAGGGACCCTGTCTTAGTTAGGGTTTCTATTGCTGTGAAGAGATACCATGATCATGGCAACTCTTATAAAGGAAAACATTTCACCGGGGCTGACTGACATTTCAGAGATTTAGTTCGTTATCATCTTGCCAGGAAGCATGGCAGCACACAGGCAAACATGGTACTGAAGAGGTAGCTGAAAGTTCTACATCTGAATCTGCAGGCAGCAGAAAGAGAGCAACACTGAACCTAGCTTGAGCTTCTGAAACATCAAAGTCCATCCCTGTGGTGGTATTGTGTTCCCCAAAATATTGTGTACTCTAATAATTTTATCTGGGGTCAGAGAACAGACAGCCACTAGATACAGAGGCTAGAAAATGGTGGCACTCACACCTTTAATCCTAGCATTCCAGAGATAGAAATCCCTCTGGATCTCTGTGAGTTCAAGGCCACATTGGAAATAGCCAAGCATGGTGACACACACCTTTAATCCCAGAAAGCCAGCCTTTAATCCCAGGGAGTGGTGGTAGAAAGCAGAAAGATATATAAGGCATGAGGACCAGAAACAAGAAGATTTTGGCTGGTTAAGCATTCAGGCTTTTGAGCAGTAATTCAGCTGAGACCCATTCCGGATGAGGACTCAGAGGCCTCCAGTCTGAGAAGACAAGACCAGCTGAGGATCCGGCAAGGTGAGATAGCTGTGGCTTGTTCTGTCTCTCTGATCTACCAGCATGGACCCCATTAACTCTCCTCAGGTTTGATTTTATTAATAAGAACTTTTAAGATTCCTGCTACACATCCCCCATGACACACTTCTTCCAACAAGGCCACATCTACTCCAACACGGCCACACCTCCAATAAACTACTCCTTGTGAGTCTATGGGGCCATTTTCATTCAAACCACCACAGACCCCATCTTGCTTAAACCTGTGCAGGCCCTGTGCATGCTGCCACAGTCTCTGTGAGTCCATATGTGTGTCAGTCCTGCTGGGTCTGCAAGACACTGTTTGCTTGGTGTAATTCATTCCCTCTGGCTCTCAACAACTGTTCTCTCTCCTCTTCTGCATAGTTCCCTGAGCTCCAAGGGGAGGAGTATGATGAAGACATCCCTGTAGCATGAATCTTAGAGGGTCTTATTAATAAAAGCAAACCTGAAGCCAGGTATTGGGGTGAATGCTGGAAGACAGAGAAGCAGAACAAGCCATAGCTTTCTCACCTCACCAGTTCTCAGCTGATCCTGAGATGTGTAAGCCTCAGACTGGAAGCCTCTGTGTCCTTATCCGAAAGGATCTCAGCTGAACTGCTTCTTGAAAGCCTGAAAGCTTAACCAGCTCTAGTTCCTGGTCCTCATGCCTTATATACCTTTCTGCTTTCTGCTAACACTTCCTGGGATTAAAGGCTTACTTCCTAGGATTAAAGGTGTGAACCACAATGCCTGGCTATTTCCTGTGTGGCTTTAAACTCACAGAAATCCGGATGGATCTCTGCCTCCCAAGTGATAGGATTAAAGGTGTGAGTGCCACCATTTTCTGGCTTCTATATCTAGTGGCTGTTCTGTTCTCTGACCCCAGATAAGTTTATTAGGATGCACAATGGGGAACATAATATCACCACACATCCCACTTAGGAATGAGTGTTCCAAAGACTCACTCTCTGCACATTGTCCAGTTGTGGGTTTCTACATCAGTTGCTATCTACTTCAGGGGAAAGTTTAAATGATGATGGCTGAGCAAGATACTGATCTATGAGTATAGCAGAATGCCATTAGAGGTCATTTTATCACCATGTTCCTTTAGCAGAACAATGGTATTTGGTTGTCCCCCTAGGCCCATGGCCTATCTAGTCTAAGATTTTTGGTCACCAAAGCGGTATCAGGCATGGGTTCCATATCATGGAGTGAGCCTTACATCCAACCAGGTAATGGTGGTTTGTTACTTCCCCAGTGTTTGTGTCCCTGCTTCACCAGAGTACTGTGCAGGCAGGTCAGCATTGCAGATTACACGGTTTGGTTACCTTTCTCCTCTTGGAGTGTGCAGAGCAACTTCTACTACTGTGAACACTGATCAGTAGGAACAAAGCCTCTAGTTAGGCCCCAGATCCATTCTCCATTTTAATGAGATGTGTAAGCA